GGTCAGTTTGAGTAAATCAATTTGCTTCGAACTAAAGCTATCAATAATAAGGTTCAAAATTATTCTTCAGGACGTATCATCAGAATCAGATGAGCACTAATTCTTCTCGCAAACATTATTTATTAAATATTTTGGCGTCGAATTTATTGCTCCAGCTAAAACAAATATTGATTGAGATTGAAGTTTGAAAATATGAAAATAAGCTTCGATAGACTTATTCACATACACGCATAAACCTTTTAGATTTGGATGCCTAACCTCATTAAAATAGTTTTTTCTAACAGTTGCGCATAGAATTTGAGTGAAGCACCAAGACAGCTTTCGTTATGAACTTTAATATAATTTCCAATAATTCAAACTCAAGAACTCGGGCTCCGGAATGAGTAATTTATCGGTAAAGTGGCCCTATTTGTTCGAATGAGGACACGGTTACTACAACATAACTAGTTAGCATAATAAATAAAACCTGACTTTAGATCAAGGGGGAGGAAAAACTGTTTTTTTTATTTAAATTAAAAAAAAATCAAAAAAATCAGAAATCAGCTGTTTCCCCCTTGCTTTAGATACTAAAGCTTCAAAAATTTCGCGAGATGCAAACAGTTTCGACGAATGTCAGCACATATTCGCCGATAGTTTCTGCATTATTGTTCACTTCGAAGATGATTTTATGATAGTATTTCATGAATTTCGATAAAAACTCGTCGCGTCATGTAACTTTAAAGACGTAAGATTTTCTCATTTTCAGTGGAATTTCATGAAAAATTGTCAAAACTAAACCACAATATATCTAAGTATTAAAACTTTCAAATACAATTCTTTTTTACTACTCAATATGAATTGATTTCCGAATCATCTCAAGCCAATGTCTTTTTCCGTCGGTTAGGTCTTTCTACTCTCGTTACATTATAAACTAAACAGATTGTGGATATTGGATGATTTGTTAAATTCTATTTCTTTGTCTATGAGAATTCAGATAAAGTGATATCACAGTTAATTACCTTTGAGACAGATCGTGCCTTTCTCTCTGTTTTCTTTTTGTAGTTCTCTTTTTCCCTAAGTTTGATAGTAAACGTATGACCATAAACGTGAGCAGCTAACAATCGCTTTCATTTTTCAACTTTTTAGTTTTTCAACAGTTTGTGTGTAACAAAAACTTAACGTGTAAAACGGAGTCCAAAAAATTTCATTTAAAGTACGATATTGAATTTTTCTTTCATAAAAAAATCAATATCAAAGTTGCATAAATTTGCAGTAGATATTAACAATTTTAGAAAAACCAAAGAGATTTATCTACGAACAGAGGTTTTTGAAACATGTCTCTTAATAATAGTAATGACCATCTATCTAATAAAAATAGAGGTAGCTTCTTCTAACCTTCTGTTCAAATAAAATAGCCTATTAGATTTTCAAGAATATTATCAACACTTAAATTATTACGCTAAATTATTATAGTATTAGGGATGTCAAAGAATCTATTAAGGTCATTCTTATCTCTATTATCCATATTGAATTCTATTAAATTCTTTTCTTCTATCTAACATAGTTTCATTTAGTATTTTCATAGAACTTATGTTTTCTCAATGTGAAAAAACAAAAGCAAAATAGTGTTCACTATCGTCCATGAATATCTATGCTAAGTTTTCCTATGTATATATTACTTTTTGATAGAAAACATAGTTTAAAAAAAGGAAAAAGAAGAGATATGAGTAACCAAAATTTTTTGAACAAGACTATTCAACTATAATTAAATTCTAAATAAATATTAAACTATTTCATATATTTATATTGATAGATAGAAATGAATTTTTTATTGTT